CCAAGAAAATGCAATCCAACCCCCCCCTCTCTCCTTTTCTTACTGGGCCACAATGTTCCCTAGAACCCATAGGTTTTGACACCCGGATTTCCCCGTCCCTGAAACCCATGTTGGGGTGCTGTTTAGAATCGTTCCCTTTTTAGGTGTTCCCCCCCCACTCTTCTCCTGATAATCTTCTCCATGATTTTTGCATACAAAAACATGTCAGTTACACTGGTCTGAAAAATTTTTTGCTTTAAAGTCCTTTTCCTTTTTAAAGAATTTGGGGCAAAATTTGCTGTCTTCCATGCCCCACGAATCTCCCCCTTTTTTGATTTGAATTATTGAATATTGTTGTTTGGGGGACACATCACCTCTGCTCCCTCTCCTCCAAAAACCCCTGGGGGGATTTTTTACCTTGGGCCCCCTTGGGCCCCTTTGGTATCTGTGTGTTTTGTGTGTGTGTGTGGTGTTTGTGTGTATGTGTGTGGGTTGTTTATGTTGTGTGTGTGGGGTGTGTGTTTTGGTGTGTGGATTGGGGTGTTGTGATTGTGGTGTGTGTGTGTGTGTGTGTGTGTGGGGGTGTTGGGGTTCTCCCCCTAAAATTTTGGTTGGGAGGGGTCGAAACTCAGGGTCCTGGCCCGTGCCTGTTTGTGGGAATGGGTGGGGTTTTTCTGTGGGGGGGAGGGGGGGTGGGGGGGTGTTGTTAAGAAAAGGGTGTGAGGTGAGTGCCCTCTATTTATTGGGGTGGGTCCCCGGGACATGTGAGGTAGTGGCATCATATAAATTTATGATGGGGCTGGCACAGGGATGAGGTTTAGTGCCAGTCAAAATTCTTTTGTGAAATCTGGCACAGTGTGATGATTGGGCCCGTCATATTCCCGAGGGGTTTTGACACAGTGTGGGGTGGGAAATGAGTGCCATTTAAATCATTTTATGGGGGGAGTCTGGCACAGTTAGATGAGTGTCAGGCATTTCATGAGTGGGGCCCCGGCACAGTGGGGTTGTGGGGCCGTCATATTCAGAGAGGGTCTGGCACAGGGGAGGTGGGGTTTCCCCGTATATTCATGATGGGTCTGGCACAGTGTTTTGTGGGGTGCCCTCAAAATTCGTGATGGGTCCTTGGCACAGTGTTTTGGTGCCAGCATTTTTCGTGAGTGGGTCGGCACAGTGTGAGGTGGGAAATTTCCCCATATTTATGAGTAAAGGGCTGGCCAGGGGTTAGGGGAGTCCCATCATATTCCCGATGGGTCTGGCACAGTGTGAGGTGAGTGCCCAGCATATTTTATGAGTGGGTTTTGACACAGTGTGAGGGGAGTGCCAGTCATAAAACATGGGGTGGGTTTTGAAACCGTGTGAGGTGAGTGCCATTTATATTCATGGGGTGGGCTGGCACAGTGTGATGAGTGGGCCCCGTCAATTCAGAGTGGGTCTGGCACAGTGGGGAGGGGATGGGCCCGCATATTCATGATGGTTCTGGGACAGTGGGGAAAGGGGAGTGCCAGTCATATTCATGGTGGGGCCCGACAGTGTGAGGGGAGTGGGCCCGTAAATTCAAGATTTGGGGCTGACATTTTGAGGTGAGGGGCCAGTCCCAAAATTTAAAGAGTGGGTTCCGACACAGGTGAGGGGGTGCCATTCCCCTATTCATTTAGTGGGTTTTGGGACAGGTGAGGGGAGTGCCATCAATTCATATTTTGGGTCTGGGCCCAAAAAAGTGGGGAGGTTGGGGGGTGGGGGGGCCAAGGGGGGGCCATATTTCATTTGGGGGGGTTTTGGGGGTTTTTGGAAAAATGTTTGAGTGGGGCCATTTTTATTAAGGTGGGTTCTGGGCCCGTGTTAGGGAGGGCCCTCATTTTCATGAGTGGGCCCGGCACATGTGATTTATGCCAGCATATTCATGATTTGGGGCCCGGCACAGTAAGGGGGTGAGTGCCATCATAAATTTATGAGTGGTCGGCCGCAGTGTGGGTGATGCCATCCAATTCATATTGGGGTCAGGGACAAAAAAATTAAAATCAACCCTTTGGAAAAAATTTAAAAAGCCTTATTTTAAAAAGTTTCTAATCGTACATTTTTTATTTTCGTAAATTGAAAATTTAGAGGGGAAAAGTAACATAGAGGATGAATTTTTCACGTACTCCCCTCTCCCCTCTTTTCTTTCCCCTCTCTCTTCTCTCTCTCTCTCTCTCCCCTCTCTCCCCTCTCTCCTCTTCTCCTCTTCCTCTCCTCTCTCTCGAAAAAAACATACACAAAATATAAAAATATAATTGGCTTTAAATATATAGCAACCCCTCTTTTTGCCGAAAAAGGCAAACGAAAAAATTTTTCGAGCAGGAAATTTTGCAAAAAACATTCCCGAACCTTTAAGAAAAAAATATATTTAAATTGCGGGTTTTTTTTTATTAATTTATTAACTTGGGATAAAAAAATATTTTTTTGGAAAATTAAACCTAAATTAATTGTACTTGTTATTATATGGTCAGGTAAGTTTTCTAAGGTTCTTTTGGTACAAAATTAATATTTTTTACATTAACATAAATGAAAAAAATATATCATTAAACTTATAAGAGAAATTTGTAGAAAGGACTTAATTTTAAGTGATTTCTTGCTAATTGACCAATTTTACCTATTCGGCACGACATATTTCTCATTTTCTTATTCCTTCTCTTTTTTTTTCCTCTTTATAGCTGAGTTCTTGACGCTCAAATGCCTTATTCTCCCTCTTCCTCCTCTCTTATAGCTGGGTTCTTGACGCTCAAATGCCTTATTCTCCCTCTTCCTCCTCTCTTATAGCTGGGTTCTTGACGCTCAAATGCCTTATTCTCCCTCTTCCTCTTCTCTCCCTCCTCTCCCCTCTCTTCTCCACCTTCTCTTCATCCACTGTACATCATCATTAGCACTAAAAGGCAACATACGCCACGTGTAATTAAATTACGCATTTTCCTTAAGGTTCATCTACGCATGTACCACTAATGTGAAACTCGTCTTAATGGCTTGATCGTCGCAGACACTAATATGAGAGCAAATCAATATCCTGATATACTTTTAATTACCGTAATGATTCTGACCTTTGTACTCTGTCTTAAACATGTCTTTATGTTGTCTCAGGCATGTTATCATGTTATCCAAGACACATTATCTCAGACATGTTATCGCTGACATGTTATTATGTTGATAGCTTCAGGCTCGGTGGTTAATGGGGTTTAAAACCCATTTACTAAATAAGGGTCATTAAGACTTCATGTCAACTGTTCACTATCAGTCAAGGATATTTTAATGTCTAAAGATGGGTTTAAAGGGATCGTGGAATCGTGTTTTATGTGTTTTAACTTTCGGTAAAACATGCCTTCAGAATATATATACTAAGAGATATGTATATCTCAGTATATATATATATATATATAATATATAATATATATATATATATATATATATATATATATATATATAAAATATATATATATATTACTGACAGATATACATCTCTCAGACTATATATTCTCCCGTGAAACTTCAGACATGCTATCATGCTGATATCTCAGACGAGCCTGGCTCATGGCCGGGCTCACAGACTAGAGGAACTCTCGAAACTCTTCAAAGGTAAGTTGCTATCATGCTGATATTTCAGACATGCTATCATGCTGATTTCTCAGACATGCTATCATGCTGATTTCTCAGACATGCTATCATGCTGATTTCTCAGACATGCTATCATGCTGATTTCTCAGACATGCTATCATGCTGATATGTAAAACCCATAAAAAAATCAATATAAGAAGCAAAGTGAAGGAGCAGTAATGCCCATGAGAGAACTCTTTAACTTGTAGAGGTTAATACGAGGTTATCCCTCTTTTTTTTTTTTTTTACACAGGGTTTGACAAGGTTAAGGATCTCTCTCTCTCTCTCTCTCTCCTCTCTCTCTCTCTCTCTCTCTCTCTCTCTCTCTTTCTCTCTCTGCAAACGCCCCGAAAACTTCAATCTTAAACCTAAATTAAAACTAAACACCGTAGCAAACCAAAACTGAGACTGGAAGCCCTGCCAATGCAATCTGATTTTCCTCCTCAAGAAATCATCCTCGTTCAATTACGTGGTGTAATTTCTCACCATCTTTATCTGTACTCGCCTATTTCTGGTTGCAGGGGCCAAGTCATAGCTCCTGGCCTCACCTCTTCACTGATCGCTACTAGGTCCTCTCTCTCCCTGATCCATGAGCTTTATCATACCTCGTCTTAAAATTATGTATGGTTCCTGCCTCCATTAAGTCACTTCCAGACTATTCCACTTCCTGACAACTCTGTGACTTAAGAAATACTTCCTAACATCCCTTTGACTCATCTGAATCTTCAAATTCCAATTGTGACCCCTTGTTTCTGTGTCCCATCTCAGGAACATCGTGTGTGTGTGTGTGTGTGTGTGTGTGTGTGTGTGGTGTGTGTGTGTGTGTGTGTACTTACCTATTTGTGGTTGCAGGGGTCGAGTTTTAGCTCCTGGCCCCGCCTCTTCACTGGTTGCTACTGGGTCCTCTCTCTCCCTGTGTGTGTGTGTGTGTGTGTGTGTGTGTGTGTGTGTGTGTGTGTGTGTGTGTGTTGGTCTGCTAGATTCCATAATCATGATATAAACTTGATAACTCCCATTGTTTATAACAAGAAATGAGAGTAAACATTTTTCTAGTGTCATTTCTAGTTATGCATTTGTCTCTCTAAGTGACATCTAAGCTTCTAAAATGCCGTGATAACATTATCAGTGATGTGGCTGCGATTTACTGTGACGAAATTAAATCGAACTTAAGGCAAAATTAAGTTCGGAATTGATTCAGTAAGAATTATAATTATGAGTTTTATACAGTGCTAAGATTACCATCTATGCTCCAGAGGATTATCAGTATTCGCTAATCAGATGCTGCTGGTGATTGGAAAGTTTAGTAAATACCACAGCACTGCTAACCAATCACATATTTGAAGACAGTGGTGGAGAGTTGATCCTCCGTCCGCAAGATCCAGACATACACAGGTACAAAC